AAAAAATAAATAAAATCAACAAAAATAAACACGAAGAAATAAATAAAATGAAAATTGTGTGTAAATATATATCAAAACAATAAGCAAATTTATTGTATCACACAAGTAATGAAATTTAAATAATTTGACAAGAATAAAATCAAAAATATATAGCAACTAATTAATATAAAATATACAGGAGAAATAAAATAAATAAATTGCAACAACTGGAAGAGTAAGGTTATAAAACAATGGCCTCAAAAATATAAAAAAAAAAAACACTTAAAAAAGTGTAACAAACAAAGTCAAAACCAAACCAAAAACTCAGAGCAAATAGGCTTACGGTTTACGTGCTTAATATTGAGTTATTATTACAAAAACAAAAATCTGAAAGTAACTCGATCACTAATTTAAATTAACAGCATAATTAACATTTAAATGTACCTAGTATATTTAAGTTTATCAGCAAGTAGAGCTGAAACTGTAACCACAAACATAAGGAAATTAAAAAATTATAATAATAAAAATGAATAATATTATAAGCAGACACAACAACAAAAAAGAAAGAAAATAAATAAAATGAGAAAAAATTAACTAATTAAATAAGAAAAATATATACAAACAACTATACACATATACGTATACATATAATCACGAAGCAGCTGGCAAGTATGAATAAGGTATACGATTATACCAGCAACAACAACATATATGTATACATGCGTATATAAATTTATACATGTATAATATTGGTGTAGTTTTTCTGCACTGTAAAATATAATTATGATAAAAATATTAATACAAATAAAAAACAAAAATATTGAATATTGTATAAAATATGTGTAGATTTATTTCTTTGTGTGTTTTGCTATACTTTTGCTCTCCATGTTTAGGAAATGATCAAAAAACTTGATCTTTTCCGACTGCGTATGTGCTGTGGAATGGCTATTTATTCTTTCTACTTTAAAACCTTAAATAGTTGGAAGTATAGATACATATATACATAAGTAATTATACTTTATATTTGCTTTTGCTCTAGTTATGTTTAATCGAATATCATTGAATTCATTCTCATATCAAACTAATATTTAATGATTGACCATTTTAATCACCGCCTAAATGTATACTAATATTTTTTAACTACTCGATTAAGGCAAGAAAAGAGTTCGCTAAAATTTAGCATTATTCTAAATAAAAACTAAAGTTGCATATTATTAGGTCTAGCAAATGAAGTTAATTTTTCTTCTAATACTTGGCCTAAGGGGAGGAGCCTGCATTAGAGGATTCAAAAAGTCGATTTTTTGAGGATTTTTTTGGGAGTGAAAGAAATAATTGATTGAAGCGAAAATTCTAGGGTTTATAGCTATATATTATATAATATATTTAAACTTTTTTGGATACGAAATCTTTTATATTCTTTTATATTCTGCCTTTGACAAGCAATTGCCTGATGCATCTCGGCAGTGCTTTTGTAAGGCGGCGAGCAGAATATAGGCCGCAATTTCTATCTGAAACAAATAACTCGTCTTTGTAATAACTCATCTTCTAGTTAAACTAAGAAATTTCCAAAAAAAGAGTAAAATTTTAAAATATTTTAAAAATGGAAAAAGTGGAAAAAGTGGTTTTTGACCAAAAAATTGTATTTTATGTTGTTTAAAAATATGTTCAAACTTGACTTTTCTTAGTTTTTTTTTAGTTTAAGTAGAAGATAATTTAATGCCATACGATGTTTGTTTTTTTCCTATCCTGCCCGCCAATTAAGAAAAATCGTAAAAATTAATAATCGAGAAATCACGGGTCAAAATTTTCGCTTTCTGCCCAAGCGTCCATAAATCTGCTCGACGCTCGGTCATCCTATCTATAACTTTGGGGACATATTATTAGATAATTGTTAAAGAGATGAAAGGGGGGGGGGGGGGAATAAAGTTTTATAAGCTTCTAAAGCAAGCTCTCCTCTTAAGAAGGTATTCTATTTTTCATACTTTCAAAGCTATTTAAAAATGTATCTACAAGACAATTTTTCAAAATTCAAATTATTTTCGGAGATATGTATATTACTGTGAGTAAAAAATAGTAAGACTTCTTAATACATATTTCGCCCGAAATTCATTGTTAGATATGTAAATCCAACAATTTTTATGAGTGAAATTATTCAACACAAAAGTTCCGAACCACGTCCAGGGCGGCCATCAACATCAACATGTAAATAAAATAAAGGAATTGGTGCTTGAGCATCGTCGATTAACAATCAGAGGTCTTACTGTCATCGCTGGAATGTTGGAATACTGGAAGTAAAGGTGAAAACCATTTTGAAAGATCATTTGAGTCTAGGAAAAGTGAAAACATGATTGCTTCCAAATTAAGTAAATTTTTTTCCGAAAAACAGAAAACGTTTGGACTGGGCTTTTAAGTTAAATGAAGACATTAAACGTGAATTCTTACGCGTATTGGAGGCTATTCCGGAAATTGACTTGGAAAAATAGTTCACACATGTGTATTTTACTAAGAGGGATTAATTTGAAGGGGACGCCACAAATTTTGAAGAATAAATAAAGAATTTTAAAATTACGAACAGAGTTTTACTTTTTTACTCATAGTTGTATCTAGGTATTTTAATGAGCATGTTCTAAGTACTTTTCAATACGATACTCTTGATTTCCCTGGCCTTCCGGATCGATTTACCTGAAATTATCAGACAGTCTTCTGCAACTCTTAATATCGTGAAAAAAATTCCAACTTTTTAGTGGAACTAGACATTGCGACATTATTCTAGAATAATATATTTTTTGTGTTTTGGTTTCCGATTGATAGGAGCAGTGAAATCATGGATATGGCACAGCTGTGGAAGCCTTGGGATGACGGCCTTGGT